TCAAAGAAACATCTCAATACACTTAGGGGTGTACTGTTTCCCACATATTAAGTCAGGGTGGATAAGTTAGTTATTATAACATAGTATATAGTCCAACATTCATTGATCTCAATACAGGCAAACAACCTGGTCAGCCTTTTAAAGAAGTAGAAGAAATGAAAATTATTTGACAAGATTAAAACAATTTATATATTTTACTAAAAGTTTATATAGTACAGTCTATGTAGATTGAAAAGTACCACTTGTCTTTTCTGTGAATTATAACTACTCATTTGTTAAAAACGCCTAAGAGCAATTATAGTGGGACATCTAAGGTCCTTTTTAAACAGTGAATTAGTAAACCTCAGCATATGTGTTTCTACCCTGATTTTTTTTTTCGTGGGTATCTGAAACCTCTCTCCTAAGTTTTTTCAAAAATGGAGTATCACAAAATTGAGTGAAACACAATACTTAAAAATGTATTGTACTAGATTTGCCGAATTCATAAAATGTTGATGGAAGCTTTACTTTTTAATGTGATTATAATGGCACTATTCTGGTCATTATCCTGTTTTATTTATTTAAATTTTTTAAAGTTGAAGAATTAAATACTTTAATGGTTCTAATCTTTTGCATTCCATGTTACATTAAACCTGTTCATATGAGTAGTCTTCTGTTAGAATCACATCTGTGCTTTTCTTGAGTCTGCTATTGAACTATTAGATTACGTCATAATTCATAAAAGTTTAATGTGCTCTTTGTAAAACGAACTTGCAAAGAAAATACCAGTGTTTCTCACCCCACTGACTCATGCCACGTCATCTGGATTTTGGATTTCCCTCCATGCAGCCAGCTATAGTTGGCTTTCCAAAACAACAGAAATCCTTCACCAAGAGTGCACTACTTACCTGCTTATGGCCTATACAGACGAACTGATCTGTCCTTTGTGAAACGCAACAAAGTTATTTGTCTTTTCAGAAGTCCTGCAGTCTTAGCAAAGGGTAGTTTGTTTTATCAGGTAAATTCTGGTAATTAAAACCCATGTTAAAAATTAGCCTAGGCCAGCGCAGTGGCTCACGCCTGTAATTCCAGCACTTTGGGAGGCTGAGGCGGGCGGATCACAAGGTCAGGAGTTTGAGACCAGCCTGACCAACATGGTGAAACCCTGTCTCTACTAAAAAAAGAAAAATTAGCCGGGCGTGGTGGCACGCGCCTGTAATCCCAGCTACCCAGGAGGCTGAGGTGAGAGAATCGCTTGAACCCAGGAGGCGAAGGTTGCTGTGAGCCGAGATCACGCCACTGCGCTCCAGCCTGGCGACAGAGCGAGACTCTGTCTCAAAACAAAACAAAAAATTAGCCTAGTTAAAGGTAAAACTAAATGCTTTACTACCTTTCTTACCACTGAACAATTTGAGGTAAAATCATTCACAAGGTTGGCACTTCAGTAAATCCCTTTAAATAGTGTTCCTAAGATACCTCTTAAATCTTCCCATAGGAAATACAATTACAGGTAAGGTACACCATACAAAAATTGTGTCATTGAGGACAATGGTGATCTGTAGTTTTAGTTAAGTATGTTTATGATTTTTGAAGCCATATGGTGAGTAAATGTAAATATGAAAAAATGCTACATAAAACATTCTTAAAATTTTTTTTTTTTTTTTTAACTGCTCCTTGTGGAGCAGGACTACCCCACAGGCAGTATACCCACCATAGCCTCTTTTTTTTTCTTTTTTTTGAGACAAGGTCTCGCTCTGTTGCCCAAGCTGGAGCGCAGGGGCACAATCACCATACACTGCCGCCTCAATCTCCTGGGCTCAAGTGATCCTTCCACCTCAGCCTCCCATGTAGCTGGGACTACAGGTGCATGCCACCACACCCAGCTAATTAAAAAAATTTTTTTTGTAGAGATGGAGTCTCTCTCTGTTACCCAGGCTGGTCTCTAACTCCTAGGCTCAAATGATCCTCCCGCCTCAGCCTCCCAAAGTGCTAGGATGACAGGTCTGAGCCACTGCACCTGGCCCACATTTTTTAAAGAGACAGTGTCCTACTCCATCACCCAGGCTGGAGTCCAGAGGTGTGATCACAACTCACTGCATCCTCCAGTTCCTGGGTTCAAGCCATCCCTCCTGCATCAACTTCCCCACTAGCTGGAACTACAGGTGTGTGCCGTAACACCTGGCTTTAATTTTTTCTGTGGGGTCTCACTGTATTTCCCAAGCTGATCTCAAACTCCTGGGCTCAAGTGATCCTCTGCCTCAGTCTCCAGAGTATCTGGGATTACATGTGTGGGCTACTGTGTCTGGCTGTTCACATTTTTGAGCACTATTTGCTTGTGAAAAGGTATAATGAAGTGGTAGTTGTCATTTTTACTGTGTCTCATGTTTTGTATATTTTTGTTTCATCAACTAAGATGTACTGTAACATATCTGAAATCTGGATATATTATCAATGGTTTGTCATAGTTTTGTTAGCCATACATTGCCTTTTAGTGGTGCCTAAAATAATGGTGTAGTTGTGAGGTGATCTTAGATTTGATGAAGCACAGTATGCAGGTAGGCCTAATGGAGGAAGATGGTACTATAAAAGCAAGAAGTATTTTTCTTTTCGTAATGACTTAAAGCTGTTCTATGGATGACCTACCCTTTCCTTTAAACATGATTCTCTCACTTCCAACTCCAAACTTGCTCAACTAATCCTTAAAAATAAACTTGAGGTGGAATTTGAGGCTTGCCTGGAGTACAGACCATAATTTTTTTTGTGTGTGTAACCACAGTGTTTTAGAGCATACTCTTAAGTGCTTCTCAACATTCAATGTTCATCCACTCTTAACTCGGAGTAAATTTGGGTTACTTTTACCCAGTAGATAACAATCTAAGTAAAGAAGTTTTGAGGCATAAGCAGCAGTATGAATGAGCTTTTCAATATTTTGGAGGTATAATGGCACAGCAGTTTTAATACAACCACCAATCTTCACAAAATAATTTTAATACTTTGTGCCTGGGCTAGCAGCATCTTGTACTGTGACATTCCTATACAGACATAAGCATTTTATCCAAGTACAAATGTTAAAAGCAGAGTAACTTAAGCAATTGTGTATACAAAGGTATATAGACACTGTAGGTTATTTTTCTTCTTGAATCATTTTTGCTGCATAGTAAACTGCAATTACATGTCAGTATAATGTTACTGATCTATAGAATACACTTTGAACTGTGAGGTATGGCAACTCCCTATGAGAGAGAGCTAACATGTAAACCTGAATATTTTGAGTGATTTTTGTTTTAGCTGCCACAGATGGGAAAGACAAAAAAAAAAAAAAAAAAAAATCCAGCATTCGAAGACCCTGGAGACCTTTTCTAATCAATAATTTTAAAAAAAAAAAGGTCTTTCAGTACTTCTCACCTATTTTCTAGCATTCCCTTATTGGAGCACTGCTGAACGAAGAAAGAAAGAAAATACTGAGGTGAAGCTATGTTTGTTATGAGATTATGGATTAAATCAGTTATTAAAAAAAAAAAAAATCCGCCAGGTAACTGCTCATTTACTTTACATCAAGTTGAGATCTTGAGAGAGATACATATATCTCAACTTTATAATTCAAGATTGCAGTTAAATATTTCTAATTCACTTGAATTACCATATTAATAAGACAATTAGAAACCTTATATTTTCTTAATACGGACATGCTTAACATTTTCTGACATTACTTCTAAACTCAGATGAAGCATAAAATCTCCCCACAACTGTTCTAAAAGTGGTTGAGCTAGTAGCAAAAGCTATCATGGTTTAACATTTCCACCATAGAGTAGATATAAGTAAACAAAGGACACTGCTGTTTAAACATCTAATAGGTAAGAAATTAACATGAACCAATTAACTGAAATTAGAATACTGCCATTCCAGGTTTGAATACTTTCAATACTCAAGTTTCATATTTTCAAAATGAACAGTAATACAGTTTCCCTATGTTTTGATAACAATTTCACTATAAATTATGGGCCCAGATTACACTTTTAATGTTGGAATTGGGTGATCACTCCCACTTTAAATACTCTAGAAAATAAATCATGATTAAATTTATCATAGTTAACTATCACAAAACATCAATGGTAATAAAGGAATCACAGAAATGGAATCAAATAGAATAAAGAATAGGACGAGCTACCAGAACTACTTGAACATTAGGTGGACAGATGTAAGAAAAAACAAACTTGTAATGTTCTTATATGAAAAAATAAACTTCATGGTTTGTCTACATTAATATTATACTCAGCCGGGTGCAGTGGCTCAAGCTTATGATCCCAGCACTTTGGGAGCCCAAGGTGGGTGGATCACTTGAGGTCAGGAATTTGAGACCAGCCTGGCCAAAATGGTGAAACCCCATCTCTACTAAAACTACAAAAATTAGCCAGACATGGTGGCATGCAACTGTAATCCCAGCTACTCGGGAGGCTGAGGCAGGAGAATCACTTGAACCTGGGAGGTGGAGGTTGCAGTGAGCCAAGATTGCGCCACTGCAATCCAGCCTGGGTGACATGAGAGATTCTGTCTCAATTAAAAAAAAAAAAAAATTATACTCAAGATGATGAGAGTCCCTTTTCCCAGTGTTTGTGAGAGACTAATATACAGTACTGGGCAGGCACTTTAGTGACAACATAAAAATTACAGTGGATAGAAAAAGTGGAAAATTACCAGCTACAAATTATCAATAACAAAATCTGTTCTTTTGGCCAGGTTACTAGATTGGATATATGTATATTTATGAAACAAGTTTTTAAAACCTAAACTATTATGAAGATTCTTTTAAGCAGAGTTTCTGCTAAATGAAATATCACAGATTGTTATTACATTGTAAGAGATCTTTGCTGACCTGCCCAGTAGTGATCTATATACAGGAAAGCTATGTTATCTGGAACTTTTATCAACTGGAATTTTAGAAAACCCAATGCAAATCTTGACTCCACTAGACCACTGCACACCAAAGGACCTAATCACAAAGCAGAATACTGGATGACAACGAGATTAACAATATGCTGTTTTCACAGTTGTAAGATAAGAGAAGGGAAGGGGAGGGAAATCAGAAGAGGAATATCACCTGGGTCAATAGGAATTAACTCTTAATTAACAATTTTAATTAATCTCTCCTCTCCCACTATGCTGGATAAGAAAGCTTTTACTGTATTATCACATCATAGAGAGGAAAGCAAAGCAAGTAACTTGGTGTAATGGGTTACTTTGCATAGTACCTCTTGGTACCAAGGGAACATAGAGAAATCATTCCCATTAGTAAAGCACCTCAAGAGAGGATTGAGAAAAGTTAGATACAAAGGAGTTTTGTTTGTACTACCCTAAAGTCATCCACTATAAAAAGTTAAAAACACTCTTCTCTTCCCTTACATACTTAAAATAGCAAAAGTGTTTTCTTAGAACTTTTATACACACAAACTAAAACATAGCCAAAAATCCATAAAGTGACTTTACTAAAGCAAATTATGGGGCAGATATGGACTAACTGAATGTCAAGAATGGATTAAAATGCTAATTTAAAATACAATAGAGTCTCCCACAAATCACCTTCCCCAAAGAAAAGCTTCTGTCTGAGCCGGAACAATCTCACAGAATCATTAAGACAACATAAAAGGGAAGAGTAAACATTCTATATTCCAAATGATTTACTAATGTTTCTTCCAGTCTCATACTTTCAGTTTAAACTAATTTATGGTTTAAAAAGAAAGGAAATTACACAAAAATGTTAAGAACTTTTCAGTGTTCTACATACTAATTTAGAGGTCATGAGGATTTAAGTTTTTTAAAAACGATGCAAGGCACTTTTCTTTTTTGGGGCTTCATTTAGAAAAAAATGGTGCTACATTGGTTTATTAGATTCTATTTAGAATCATTTTGGACAAAGGAAAAAAGGGCTGGACAACTCTGAAAAGAACAAATACAACATTTGGCTTTTACCGCCAAAAAATGCAAAAAGGAAAGTCACTTGAAAATCTGACACTATCCTTGTTTTTAAGCACTTGGTACTATAAATCAAAACATTTTCCTTTTATCATTGAAACTGTAGTTTTCTTTAATATAGAATAAACAAATTAGGAAAGTAATAAGAAAGGAAGCAATAATTAGATCACGTTAAAGTAAGGACAGCTGATTAGGGTCATGATTTAAAGATTAATAATGGAACAAGAAGTATAAAAAATAAAATGGTAATTAAGCTATTAAGTTATACTAAAAAAGAAATGTGGCAGGTTCCTGCATTTTGTTAATGTTTCTGTAAGAGGCTCCATCATAAAACTGAACTGTAAAATTATGTTAAAAATGTAATATATAGAACAGAAAAATGAATTTTTAGCAAACCTTAGCAAATTCTTTTGTTATAAATTACCCAAACTTTATAAACAATCCCCCCATACTTGCATTTTGTTTAAAGTAATAACTTTATATCATACAAATAAATTTCAAGTATGAAAAGTGCATTATTGCAATAATACCTCTTTGCAAGTCCAAAATTCTTGGTTTATAATAAAACTTGTAAAGTGTGTGTGTGTATGTTTTTTTTTTTTTTAAAGGAGTAAAACCATCAGTGCCATCTATTGCAGAAGTCCAACATCTTAAAATGTTGCTCAACAAGTTGCAGAGAAGTATGTCTGGAAGCAACATGTAATTGAAAAAAAAAAACTACTTATGTTTTTACCATTTTACATTATAATTGTCTCTTGTATTTTCTCCTTCCCAAATAGAAATTCACACTCTATAATGTTGCTCTTCAGTCAGCCATTCTGTGCAGTTGCCACTTGCATGTTTCCAAAATCATCCTCTTCTTCATGTGTTCTCTTCAAACTGCCTAAAAGTTATTGCATGAAGATTAAAAGGGCACTAAAATAAATTCATGTTAAAACCTTACAGCAAGTAAAATTTTTGTTATTCATTAAGTGATCATGTATACACTATGAAAATTCCACAACTGAACTTATAGCAAAATTTAGTAAATTCCTTTGTTATCTACATTACCTAAATATTATAACTTTTTAATCTTCATGACAGGATATATTTTCCTTCTCAATTATTAAGTATGTCTTAGGTATTACATATAAAATAAATAATAATTTTTGAACTAGTGTGAAAACAGACTTTTTAAAGAGATAATACACAAATGTTTTGTTATCAAGTTGTTTTTTAGGCACCATAAACATGTGACTTAGGGCATAAAATTTAGGAAATTAATCTTGTATAATTTTTTGTAGATAATCTTTTTGCTTTCATAGAGGCTGTTATGAAGAGCAGCTGAAAATATTTTTCCACTGAAGCTATGGAAGTTTAGGTTGGGAGAAAGGAAGGTATGAAGCATATAAAGAGATTTTCTTTTATCTATTCTTCACATCAGCATCTGCTAGTACAGAAACCTCCCACTTAGAATCAAAGCTATCTCTATATCCCCAAAAATCATAATCAAGAAATTAGAATCTCAATGGAGGAAAACTTTAGGGAACAGTTAAACCAGCAGAGGGTCCGCTGTGTTTTTTGCCTAACAATGGCACGACCTTAAACTTATGCCCTACAGGACTCTTACATCATGGTAATAATAATGTTAATTCAGAGGGCACATTCTAATATGAAGAATGTTTCACTATAAAATTAATAAAGATAAAAATATAGTATCAACACAATTGAATGAGAAAAAATATCCCAGCCCTTAGGCTAAACCTAGATGCTGTGATTAAGTTTCAGATGAAGTGCTGTGCTTCTATGGGAACTCTAAATGACTAGGGGTTGGAGGAAGAGTGCATTAATCATCATGTCTTCCTGAGGAGATGACATATGAACCAAGAATAGGGAGACTAAATGTGATGCACTTTAGGTGGGGAAAAGACACACACAGGAAACCATCAGTAGTTGTTTTCTGAAACGCAGACATAAAGAAGAACAAGGAGAGAAAGAAACCGAAAAATCAGAAGGGCTTATGGCATTCTATAAACTTTTGTAGGAATGAAGCCAAAGGAGGCTTTGGCAAAGGAAAAATATCATTATTAGAAATATCTTTCATGGGAATTAAGTCTGGCCACTATGTACAGAACAGACCAAATAACAAAAGTTTGGAGAGGAGGCAAATCTGGACCTGAACTAGATTAAGGTCACTATTAAAAAAAGGAATGTTAACAATACTGACAAAACAGACCCTATAGGATGCGGAAAGCAATTATTAGATAGATGTGGCAAAGGAAAGAAAAAAGTCAATTAGGAAGTTGAGACTTGGGGATGAATATACAGTCATATCACTCACTATAGGCAGTGCAGTAGAGTGCAATGAATTCTATACTTGTGGATCAGATCACCTGTCCTCAATTTCCAGGTCAGTGCTAACTAGGTATATAAGCTGTTCTTACTGCCTTATGTAACTGTTGGTTCAAAGGTTGAAGTGAACTGCAGGGTAGGAAAAACTGGAAATAAATTAAAAATACCTTGTGTGCTTTGTTAGGAGAGAAACAAAGGTGACAAACACGGGTAGCACGGTCTTGGGAAAGGAAGATTTTGAGAGCATGCCTGGATTAACTTTGAAAATAAGGGGCTTAGGGTACTTCTGAAATAGCAACAGACGGAGGAAAGGATGGAAATATTGATGGCAAGAGAAAAACAGCTCACATTAGCCACCCTACATGCTGTATTAACCACCCTTTACTTTTAATAAGATCACCTAAGCATGTTTAGGGCCCCTTCTCCAGATTCTTCTTCTTATTTTAATCTTTACAACATGGATGTACTACTACTTAAAAGACTTAAGCTTATTACAGTACACATTTATTCATTATAAAATGAATCCTTTTGGAATTATCTGAGCTCAATAGTTTAACAAGTTTTCTAAACAATTTAAATTGTTCAGTGTAACCTGTAGCAAGTTCTCCACCTTTCATTATCTCTCTTCCCAAATTTCTCCAAAAAGAAAAAAATCCTTACCTGTGGTACCAGAATGAACAGATAATGACCTTTCTATCTGGAGTGGTGACATCATCTGTATTGTTAATTTTGCTAGGTAGATGGCTTCATATTCCTTAAAAAAAAAAAGTTAATTACCTTGAATATATATTTACATTCTTGGGTACCCAAAATAGTGATTAATATATAATACACTTTTGGTATTCTTCATCTGTACTGAAAACTCTAGTGCCATACTGTTTGAAGATAAATGGAAGTTTAAAATTCCTGTCTCATAAATTCAGAACTACTGATAATACTGATAACTATAAATCAAGTCTGGCTAATAGCTTGCGCTAGGGTACTACATGTTGAACTGCCAGTCAGTATGGCATTAGCTATAATGATCTCTGACTTCATCTGTTTAAAAAAAACCCAAAAAACACCAAAAACCTAAATTGGCAATCACAATAGTCCTCTGCTTCCAGTTATAAGAATAAAGGCATTTTTGTTTTTCTCTTTTCTGAAAACAAGGAAAACATTTGATGAAACTAGGAAATATCCATTACCCTGAAAATGAGAAGAATGAGGGGAAAAGGAATTGATTACCAGCTAGGTCAGGAGAGCGGTTACCTTTATGGAGGGAGAAACAGATTTGTGCTTGAGAAGGGGCATGAAAAAGGCTTTTGGCGTTCTGGTAAACATTCTGTTTCTGTACTTGGGCAATAGTTACATGGATATTTATTTACATTTTATGCATTTTCTATATATGTATTATAATTTCACAATAAAATTTTCAAAAAATAGAACCATACTAAGCTAGGCATAGCAGATAACTCCTCTGTGGGCCAGAGTAGGTACAGTTCATAGCTCGCTAAAAAAGGTGACCTAAAATAAAACCAACAAGCCCTTGCATGGTATGAAAAAGTCAGGAAATATGAGTGGCCTATGGGAGAAGGTGGGACATATTAAGGAAAATGTGAACATGTACACCTGCCATTTTTTGCAAGCAGCAGGCTGTAAGTATGGTAAGGAGGAAGAGAAATTTGGTTTTACGTAGCCAAGCATCAGCTGATCGTGGATAGCTAAAAGTAAAGGCTAAATCAGCAATTCTAGCCTGGATATACATGAGAATCACCTGAGGCACTTTAAAACCTACATACCTAGGCCCCACCCTCATAGATTTTCATTTCATTGGCTTGGTTAAGAATTCCCCAGGTGATTCTAACATACATCAGTGTTTATCAATTTAAACAAAATAAACCTGTGATATAAGCTGCTCCGCTTCTTACTCACTGATTCATGCCACCAAAGGAACCTGGGAAAATTCAAGCTGTCTGCCTTCCCCAACCACTCCTCTGGCCCCTTTCCCACAATTTTATTCTTGGGTAAATAGCTGATCTAAGACGAATACCTCCAGTTCAAAGATGACTAATAATCAAAAAGGAACCAGTGTTAGGTCTTACTCAAAGATTTTACAAGGAAAAAACCAAAAAAACAGAAAAGCAAGAGTATAACCAAACGTCATAAAGAAAATGCCATAAAACTTACACCATGAAGCAGATGAAAATTATGAACAAATTAATCAAAGAAAATATGGCAGTTACAGGATTGAATGTTTGCATTCCTCTGAAAATTCATACGTTGAAGTCCAAACACTTAATGTGGGGACTTCGGCAGGTGATTAAGTTGGGATGAGGTCATCAGGACTGGCCCTAGGATGAAATGAGTATCGTTCTAAGAACTATGCTCCCACCTCAAACCACTAATACTTATTCCTCTACCTCAAATGCTTTCCCCCAAATATGTGCATTTCTTCAGGTCTTTGCTCAAAATACCACTTTTCAGTAAGCCCATTTCTGACCACTCTTCTAAAAACGCAATTCTTGTCCCACCCTCCTTACATGGCCTTACTTTTCTTGGATCCATTACTTCTGACCTACTACATTTTGTTTGCTGTCTGATTCTCCCACTAAATAAGTTTCATGAGGTCAAGGATTATTGTCTGTTTTGTTCTCTGCTTTACTGTCAGTGCCTAATTAAAACAATGCCAAATAAATACTTAATGAAACAATGCAGCATGGGACATGGAAAACAATGTGAGAAAAATCAAGTGGAAAAAAAAAGAACAAAGCTGAAAATACTTACAGAGAAACGAGCAAATAAAGAAAAAAGGGAACATAAACTATACCGGGGTAAGGCGTACACTAAAAAGAAACAGAAACAGAACAACCAAAAGGGCAAATACAGAATAGAAGACAACTTTCCTGATATAAGGGAAGGCTTGAATTTCCAACTGGTAAGAGCACACTATGACTCAGAAAAAAACTGATGTAGAGCAATCAACAAGATACAGCCTGTAATCCCAGCACTTTGTGATGCCAAGGTGGGAGGATCACTTGAGTCCAGGAGTTTGAGACCAGCCTGGACAATATGGCAAAACCCTATCTCTACCAAAAATAATTTAAAAAACTAAGTCAGGTGTGTGGCCTCACACCTGTAATCCCAGCACTTTGGGAGGCCAAGGCAGGCAGATAACCTGAGGTCAGGAGTTCCAGACCAGCCTGACCAACATGGTGAAACCCCGTCTCTCTACAAAAAATACAAAAATTAGCTGAGTTTGGTGGCACATGCCTGTAATCCCAGCAACTCGGGAGACTGAGGCAGAAGAATCGCCTGAACCCAGGAGGCAGAGGTTGCAGTGAGCCAAGATCGCGCCATTGCACTCCAGCTTGGGCAACAGAGTGAGACTTCGTCTCAAACAACAACAACAAACAAACAACTTAGCCAGGTGTGGTAGTGTGTACCCATGGTCCCAGCTACTCAGGAAGCTAGGGTGGGAAGATCGCTTGAGCCCAGGAGGTCAAGGCTACAGTGAACCATGATCACACCACTGCACTGTAGCCTGGGTGACAGTGCAAAACCCCTCTCAAAAAACAAAAACACAAAAAACCAGGATACACCTTGATAAAGCATCTTATGGTCATCTAGACGAGGGGTCCCCACCCCTGGACTGCAGACCCCAGGATCAGTCCATCGCCTGTCAGCAACTGGGCCATACAGCAGGAAGTGAGTGGCACTCCACGGAGCATTACCACCTGAGCACTGCCTCCTATTAGATCAAGAGCAGCATTAGAGTCTTACAGGAGTGCAAACCCTGTGGTAAACCTATCCCTCCCTATGGTATGCGATGGATCTAGGTTGCACACTCCTTATAATGCCTGGTGATCTGAGGTAGAACAGTTTTGTCCTGAAACCATCTCCCCCACCACCCCATCTGCAGAAAAACTGTCTTCCATGAAACTGGTCCTTGGTGTGAAAAAGGTTGCAGACTGCTGATCTAGACAACCTTCTCCTGACATAAATCAATTCACCTAACGGGGGAATCTTAAAATTGGTCTGCCTTCAAACTTTTCTAAAACAATAGTTAGGCCAGACGTGGTGGCTCACGCCTATAATATCAACACTTTGGGAGGCCAAGGCGGGCATATCACCTGAGGTCAGGAGTTTGAGACCAGCCTGGCTAACATGGTGAAACCCCATCTCTACTAAAAACATAAAATTAGCTGGGTGTGGTGGCATGTGCCTGTAATCCCAGCTACGCAGGAGGCTGAGGCAGGAGAATCACTTGAACTCGGGAGGTGGAGGTTGCAATGAGCCGAGACTGCGCCACTGCACTCCAGCCTGGGCGACAGAGTGAGACTCCATCTCCAAAAAAACAAAAAAACAAAAAATACTTAGTATCAGATCTGTGTACAAAATCACTAGGGAAAAAGTACTAAATAAAAATTTTACATCTAGCCACTGTCATTCAAATATAAGGGCAAGAGAAAAATATTTTCCAATATGCAAAGGGATAGTTTCCACGGGAATATAGTTTCTATGAAGTATCCTTAACAATAATACTCAAAGTCCAAGAGTTTAATAAAGACACTGGGACAGGTAATAGGATTGGCTGAATCTTACTGAAATATAGGATTAAGGGCTGGGCACTGTGGCTCACGCCTGTAATCCCAGCACTTCGGAGGCTGAAGCGGGTGGATCACATGATCTCAGCAATTCGAGACCATCCTGACCAACATGGTGAAACCCCATCTCTACCAAAAATACAAAAATTAGCTGGATGTGGTGACATATGTCTGTAATCCCAGCTACTCGGGAGGCTGAGGTGTGTGAATCATTCAAACCCAGGAGGCAAAGGCTGCAGTGAGCCGAGATCACACCACTGTACTCCAGCCTGGGCAGTAGAGTGAGACTTATCTCAAAAAAAAAAAAAAAAAGAAAAGGAAAAGTCAATAAATAAAACCTTAAAAATTATGTAACAAACATAAACACATCAAAAACTTTTAAACTATAAAAAGAAGTTTAAAAAAAAGGATCCTTTTAAAACAGAAAGCATAATATGAAATAATGTAAGATTGTAGCTGTCATTTTCAGTAAATGAAAGTGTATTCACCTATTAGAAAACAGATGATACCAGATTTAATAGCAAAACTCAATCCTAGACAATATTGAGGAAAAGCATCTAAAATCAAGTGATTTAGAAACAGAGCACCAAATCATGAATGAACT